ACATCCAGTCCATCAGTCAGATGAATTCAGAAATCAACTACTTGTCCCTTCTTGACAGCTTGTCCAGGCCACATCACAGCAAAGGCCTGCTAACTGGTCTCCAGCTGCAATTCCTGCCTTCCACCTAGGGCCGACAGGGTCCTTTGAAAACTCTAGGCAGAGCACATGGCATCTCTTAATTACTCCAATAGCCTGCTAAGTTCTGGTGTCCGCAGGGCAGCAGAAGAAAGGAGAGCGCCGCTGTCACAACTCTGATCCACTGCCTGCATTCCCCCCGCCCACCCCCGCCAGGCAAAACCACATCTTTAAGGTCATCGATGAGGAATCTGACCTGCTGGGACCTCCAGAATCTCCTTTCACTCCACTGCAGTGAGTGAGCAGGACCCAGCTCCATTGTCCACCTTGGTGCTTCTGGACCATTCCAGGCATAAACCCACTTCTGCCCCGGCTTTTACCCCTTGACCTTCAGTGCTCCCCCCAGATATGCGCATGGCTCATCTCCCATTTCTTTTAAGTTTCTGCTCAAACATTACCTTCTTCTGGGGCCTTCTCTGATAACCCTATTTTAAATATAAGCTCCTCCCCACTGCTCTCCCACTCTCTACACCAGGCAGGCCCTGACTCTTGTCCTTGGACATTCCTCTGACCAAAGCATCCCTGGAGGTCAGAAGTGGCCCTGTTTCTGGATGGCCAGAGAGCAAAAGATGTGCAGGCAGCCCATGGGCCAGGGCATCAGTTATTTCTTGCATCAGCAGCCCCTCTTTCCCCTTTAGAAGCTAACAAGGGGATGATCCAGGTCCCCAGGACAGCAGTTGAAACCCACTTCCTCCACTATAAATGACATACATTTGCTTAGCTATCGATTTCTGTGAGCTCAGGTAAGGCCCACCATGGTATTAAACCCTCATTTTTTTTTTTCAAATCTCTTTTTGACAAGAAGCCTTGTTTGTTCATGTAAAAAAAAAAAAAATCAGGAGACAGAATTGAATGTCTTAGACTTTGTGTATCCAGACCCAAGGTCAAAACTGTAATAACATTACTTTTCAGGAAAGATTGTTTCATTTCTGCAATAGCTGCCCTTAAACCACTGCAATTTACTCTGGAATTCTGAAGCTTCACAATTAAATTGGATCTCTTGGAGAAACAGCCTGAGTCTGGGGTGTGTGTGTGTGTGTGTGTGTGTGTGTGTGTGTGTGTGTGAGACATAGAACTGCACTTATGCTCTTAGTGACTATTTGATTATGAGAAACATATTCCATAAGCAAGGCTAAATTTTTCTTAAGAAACATCTTTGCTACTTGCATGATTAAAATAATAATATACCATTTCCCCTATTCTATTGGAAAATATTAAAAAACCAAGCATAAGACCTGGCATTATTCTCATCGTAAGAAACAGGCACTACTATAAACTGTGGGAAGGAGTGTAGGTGAAAAAAGTGATGACAAGTGGCCGATACGTATTGAAATCTATAGAAATTGCTTACTCTTTGAACCACAATTCTACTTATAGAAGTTTATCACCAGAGAGAAAATGGACATGTGTACAGAGATCAATGAGGTAGAAGTCACTGTGACATTTTTACGATAGTGAAAAACTGGGGGAAAAAACAGTATCCAACAGTAGTGTTGGACACACTTGGTTGCCAAGCATCCATTCTCCCCCTTAGTGAAATAGCCTGGGTTGTAGTCACAACAGCCATATGCTTAGCTATAACACAACTTGTAGAACTCCTGTGGCAAGGGCTGACCTGGCCGGTGAGACATGAGCAGAATTGATTTATCACAGTCTGGAGAGATCCTTAGAGGGAACTGACTCAGGTGGGTGTGAGAGCCTTCTCTCTGTGGTCTTCCTCATCCATGGAAATGTGCAAGTGGCCACTGGACCTTAGTAGCCATTGACGGATGGTGGGAGATGCTTTCAAAGAGTGACAGAGAGATAGATGTAAACAGTGTGGGTCTCTGATGACTCAGGGGAGAAAAACTAATCCTGCCCTACCTACTTCCAGACTCCTCTTATGAGAAGGAGTAAACCCTTGTGGCATTAAGTCACTGAATTCAGTCCTAACAAAGGCAAGAGAAGTTAGATGTATTTATTGATGTATGAATAGAAACTCAACAGAGACATTAAAAAGTCACAGTGAACACCCATATTTGTTGCCATGGAAAGACATTCACAGCCTATTATTAACTGAAGAAAGAAGGTTGTAGATCAGGAAGACTCACATGCTCGCAATTTTTTAAAAAACACAAAATTATATATATATCTACAGATATATATATTTGCCAGGGAGACAGGTCTGAAAAGCTAGATGAAAGTTTACAGTATAGGGACTTCCCTGGCAGTCCAGTGGTTAAGACTTCACCTTCCAATGCAGGGGGTGTAGGTTCAAACCCTGATCAGGGAACTAAGATCCCACATGCCTCATGGCCAAAAAAAAAAACAAAACCAAAAACATAAAACAGAAGCAGTATTCTAACAAATTCAACAAAGACTTTAAAAATGGCCCACATCAAAAAAAATCTTAAAAAAAAAGTTTGCAGTATTTATCTTTGAGTGATGGTTTTTTTTTTTTTTTGGGCCTCTCACTGTTGCGGCCTCTCCCGTTGCAGAGCACAGGCGGCTCCGGACGCGCAGGCTCAGCGGCCATGGCTCACGGGCCCAGCCGCTCCGCGGCATGTGGGATCTTCCCGGACCGGGTCACGAACCCGTGTCCCCTGCGTCGGCAGGCATACTGTCAACCACTGCGCCACCAGGGAAGCCCTGAGTGATGTTTTTAAAGGGGGATTTTAACTTTTAAAAATTTGTTTGCTGCAATTTTTAATTTTTTCCTTAATGATTTTAAATTGCATATCAAGTTCAAAGGTAAAAAGGCTTCTATAGTTTAATTTGCACATCAGTGATGGAAAGGAATAAGATGTCTGTAACACCCATAACAGACAAAGGGTTATTTAATCTATGAAAAAAACTCTTTCAAATAAATGAGACATGGAGATGAGTGTGAGAGTAACATGAATGAGAAATTCTCCAAATGGGAAAATGAAATGGTCTGTAAACAAAGGCTAAAACATTTTCAACATCATTAGTCATCTAAATTTGTAAATTAAGAGAGGAATTTGTAAATTAAAACAATTCACCCATCACATAGTAAAGACTAAGGAAAAAAGGATACTATCTAGCTGGCGAGGGTGCAAGACACACACAGCTTCATACTACTGGTTAGTGTGTAAATTGCCCTAATATTTTCCAATGTGTCCTGGTCCAGTGCAGACCAAGAGCCTTCAGTGTGATCACAGTATTTCACTTCTAGGGATTATACAGACATTTCTCCAAAGAAGACATACAGATGGCCAACAGACACATGAAAAGACTCAACATCACTAACGGTTAGAGAAATGCAAATCAAAACTACAATGAGGTATCACCTCAAACTGGTCAGAATGGCCATCATCAAAAAATCAACAGACAATAAATGCTGGAGAGGGTGTGGAGAAAAGGGAACCCACCTACACTGTTGGTGGGAATGTAAATTGGTACAGCCACTATGGAGAACAGTATGGAGGTTCCTCAAAAAAAAAAAAAGAAAAAGAAAAAGAAAGCAACCACACATATGCACATTGAACTAACACACAAGGATGTTCACTTCTTTAGTGTTTGTAATAGTGAGAAATGGAAAACAACCCAAGAGAAAGAAAGAACATCCACACAATGTCAAGCATTAGAAGATAAACATCATGGAAAATGTAACATCTTCTATATAAACTACATGCACATCGATATAAAGTACATTAAATCAAATGTATGCTATTTGTTTCCATGTAATGCAACATAGGGTTACAAGTATGGCCCCAAATAAAAAGGCACACGGGCAGATACTCTGAATAACGGGCTTTTATTTTGGGATAAAGTGCTTTTCACATGGACAATGTACCGTGGCATGCTACAGGGGAGTAATCTCAGGGATTTAAAACAAATTTAACTGACTGCCCCCCACAAACCAAATAGTATCTATCTCTCTGTTTCCTCCCCCTGCTCCTCCGCCCTAAAGGAAATACACCAAAAGGAACTGTGGCAAGTATGCCGTTTGTTTTTCTCTAATTGCTGTTACTTTCACAATAAGAAAATGCAACACAGTATATAACTTAAGTCTTAAGATTGTTAGGGAAAAAAACCCATGATTTATTTATTTGTTGTTTGTTCATCCTATCAGTATATATTTGTCCCTCACCTGTTTAATAAATTGCTGAAGGAAGTTATGTGAATGAGAAAGGAAAGAGTATTTCCAACACGTTCGTAAGCATAGCTAAGGAAACGTTCCTGGAGAAGGTGATAAGATAGAAATAAATTATTTTTACCATGTCTAGAATGGTTCCCTCATTAGTTTCCAACACTGCTCATTTTAATTTATGTAATGTTTACAGTGTTACCTTAATACTGGGAAACGTTGCTTTGCCTTTGAAGAGGAAGCAAGATTAAGGGTGAAATTTTGCTTTTAAAAAGAGACTACCAAGGAGATGATAGGTAGTTTTTCATATCTATGGTATCTAGGTAAATAAAACAACCAGTAGTTTTATTTTAACCTTCTAAAGCCACTTACCCTTACTTATCTAAATACTGGGGAAATAATTTTCCAGCAATGAGTAATTCTGACAATTTATACTTGTGTTTCCAGGTGTATGGGCTTGCAGGGGTCCCCAAGCAGATCACGGTCATCCAACATAGGTAGTCAAGGTAGAGCTTTCCCAGGTGCTGAAATAACTTACATAAATAAACTGCCTCCCCTACCCGGTCTTTCCAAGGGCATGTTATACAAGAACATTTCATAGCCCAAATGAAAACACTTAGGTGGGTTACTAGGGGTGTATGTGAAGGATGGCTACACTTGGTGGAGGTGGGGACGTATATATTTGTAAGAAACATCTCTGCAAGAAATGCTCATCTCATCCTTTAGAATATAACATACATTTGGTAGATAACAAACAAATCAAGTAACTTCATACCTTTAGAGAATTTCCACACGATGGTGGGTACAGGATAACCCTCAGCTGAGCAATTGAGAATGACAGGCTTGCCATAAATCCCATCTTGGTCCCGTGGCTGAACCACAAACTTGGGAGGAACTGAAAAAAGAGAAATGCCACCAGTAATTCAGACAAGACTGCAGATTATTAAAGCTGTGATTTTGAGAAATCCAAGAATTTTAACAAGCATGAAAGTACAAAGAATGCTTTACATATATATGAAAATAAAGCAGAGGATTTGTAATTAGGGACCAATTAAGGAAGCAATTTCAGTGCAGGTGATTTTTCTTATATCAATGATCTGACGCAGATGGAAGTTGCTTTGCACTGGACTCGAGTGTGGCAGCTTGACTAAACCAAGGGAATGTGACATTCTGTTTTTGATCTGTGTTATGGAAGATCTTCAGGGATCCATTCTTGGGTATGAAATGTTTTTAAAGCATCCAATATCTATTCTTCCTCTAGCAGGAGATGAGGGGAGAATTAATAGTCTCTTCCTAAAGGCAGTAAAGAACACAACATGGTATTGAACATTTCCTAAAAATCTGATAAAGACACATAGACCATTATTTCTGACATCAGTACCCTTCTGAGCCAAAAAGGGACTATGGAAACCAGTTGAAGGGAGGTGCTATGAAGGCTTTATAGAGTACCTATTTGAAAACAAAACCAACAGATTAAGTAACTGCTTATTTGGTGAGTTTTGTGAGATGCTGAAAAAAACACCATCCCTACCCAAAATATACACATGCACTCTGCTTAAAAACTACCTGCCAAGAGAACACAAATGTTTTGAGTTGTTATTGTGATTTTTAAGAGTATTCAAGTCTTTTCTTAAAGAGAAGATACAGATTCTTCTAGGAAAGGTAGCATCTAAAGTTCTTAGGATCCAGAAATCTTTTCCAGCAGATCAGTGACTAATTACAGGATGGATTTTCAATGAGACTGTCATGAGACTAGGTGAGAGGACATAGATTATGTCCACCATATATCAGATACTTAGCAAATGTGGGAGTTCTTCCCCTCCTTTGCACAACTCCTGATAAGGCTTATCTTTTCTGCATTGCAATTTCCAGAATTCTTCATTTTGAGGCAAAAATGTGGTCCTATGTGTTAAAGATATATAGGAATTCCAGCCACCACATGAAATGGACTGGGGAGAAGTTTAGAGTCTACACTAGTTAGGATCTTAGGAGCATGTTGAAATGTCATGAGCCATAGTGAACATCACTTTGCCCATCAAACAGCCAAGGAGGGGGGAATAAAATCAAGACAAGAAGCAGCTAGAGATGGAACTCACTGCTGTGTTTCTGGAAGAAAAAACAGAGAGTGATGGCTAAGAGCACAGAACCAAAGGCTAAACACCTGGATTTGATCTCCAACTTTGCTACTTCTAGGTGGGTCACCTTGTGTAAGCTGTCAAATGTTTCTTAGCTTCGATTTCCTTATCTGTAAACTGGGAACTCTTTGTTTTTGCGGTACGCGGGCCTCTCACTGTTGTGGCCTCTCCCGTTGCGGAGCACAGGCTCCGGACGCGCAGGCCCAGCGGCCATGGCTCACGGGCCCAGCCACTCCGTGGCATGTGGGATCTTCCCAGACCAGGGCACGAACCTGTGTCCCCTGCATCGGCAGGTGGACTCTCAACCACTGAGCCACCAGGGAAGCCCCCTTATCACTTTTTAAAAATATATTTACATTCTATAGACTACATTTGTCTCAGAATACCACCTAAATGAAATAAAATTGCTCACTATGAAAAGACCCATTGGCTGTGCAAATTATTTAATTAAATAATGTGCACATTGGAAACTGTGTTTATTAATGATGTTAAAGCTGGACACACCTGCATTTACTAAATTAACCAACACTCCTACGACACTTCATATCTTCCAGGCACTTCTGACAACTTTTATAATCTTAATTCATGTTATCCCCATACCAATGCTATAAAATGAGTTCCCAGGTCTTCCCTGGTGGCGCAGTGGTTGAAAGTCTGCCTGCCGCTGCAGGGGACACGGGTTCGTGCCCCGGTCCAGGAGGATCCCACATGCCGCGGAGCAGCTGGGCCCGTGAGCCATGGCCACTGAGCCTGTGCATCCAGAGCCTGTACTCCGCAACAGGAGAGGCCACAGCAGTGAGAGTCCCACGTACCACAAAAAAAAGAAAAAAATGTGACAAGGGTGTCTGTCTCATGGTGAGAAAATTATTCCTAGGAAAAAAGTGCTGGAGATTTTATAGAGCAAAGTTTTCTAGTAAAATTAATCTAACAACCACAAGGGTAGATTGCAAAGTTTAAGACATCATGTCAGAATCATTCTGTCCAGGGTGGAAGGTAAATATGCAATCATGTACATTCTGTCTATTTGGCTCAAATTCTGCTGAGAGCAAGGAATCTCTTGTCAAATGGGCAGGGTAGCTAATCTCTTGCATTTCCTCTGGAAGAATGTCTAATTATAATTGATCCATGATCCCTCCCCTCGATTTGGTTCTAATCCAAAGCAATAGTATTTAAAAACTGATCACAGAGGTTTACATGGAAAATAACCACTGACATATTGTAAGTGTAAGGCAATTACTGAAGGAAATGGCCCATAAAATTGAGAATTATCTTTCATATGCCCCTCTTTAATCTCCTTATATCAGGTACTGATGATTCTTTCTTACAAGTGTGTCACATATCCTCAAATTCTCTTCATCTTCATTGCTGTGTCCTAGTCATGATGGGTAGACAGGGTGTGCGGTGAAGTGCCTCCATCCATCTGGTTTCAGCATCACAGGGTGGACAGCTCCATGCATTTTGCCAGGGCACCACACCAAGAACAGGAGTCTCTCTTTGCTGTCTCAGGGCCTTCTCTAAAGTAATAAACACCCACCTTCATGGGTGCAACCAGTGAGGGATGGGCATCGGGATAAATGCCCTGCCTCTCCATCTTCCAATCCTATTGGACAACTCTAAGGTGTGCTCTATGTCTGTGCTTCTCAAACATCAGAGGGTGTCCAAATCACCTGAAGAGTTGATTAAAACCCAAGTTGCTGAACCCTCTGTCCCTAAAAGTTTTGACCCAGTAGGTCTGAGGCACGATCCAAGACACTGCCTTTTCTAATAAGCTCTCAGGTGATGCTGAGGCTTCAGGTCCAGAGACTACCTTTGAAAACAACTGTTCTGTGTGATGCCTTGCAAGGTTCCCAGAAGGAATGAGCCCCAGTTGCCCACAGCAGCAACTAGCTCATTAAAGCAACTCTTACTGATTTTTCCCTTCCTTTCCTAATCTCATTTCCCTTCATTCTTTCACTCTGGAATCCAGGAATTACACCTCAAATAAGTGATCTACAGCCAGTCCTATACCTCACACTCTGCTTTCAGGGGGACCTAACCTGAGACAAGGCTAAAACTGGCTCTTATCTGGATTTATGAAACAGCTTCCTAACTAGTCTACCTGCTACCTACTGGCCCACTTGAATGCATTCTGCCCACAATGGCCTGAAAGATCCTTCTAAGAGAGAGATCACATGAGGTGACCTCCCTGCTTAAAATCATCAGTGCCTTCGCATTGTCCCTTGACACAACTGAAGCCCTTACGATATTTTGAAGGCTCTTTATGACTTGGGTCCTTGCACTCCAGCTTCATCTCTTGACATTTCCTCTTGTAAGCTTTGCTCCAGTCTATCTATTCTCCAGCTCCCTCGGGTCTTCACATAGGCTTCTGTATTTCTTTGTTTAACAAATTATCAGTTAGTAGTATTTACATCTCAGCTCAAATTTCACTTAGTGTGGGACACCTTTTCTGATGCTGTGGACAAGACTGAGTGCCTCCACAGAATCCTGTGTTATCATGTCATAGCCTTTACCACACGTTTGGTGTTGCTGGCTTAAATGCTCATCTCCCACATCTGGCTGCACACCTGGGAGAACAAGAACCATGGCTTTCTTGCAGACCATCACACCCCAGCACATAACACAGTGCTGGAACACAGAAAGTATCCTGCAAATATCTGTTGAATGGACAAATCAATAAACGGATATTATTGTTCCGGTTTTAAAAACTAGGAAACAGACCCTATCCAAAGTAGCATGGCTCAGTTAATAACTCAGATCAGAGTGACCCCAATGCACAAGGTCTTTGAGGAGTATGGGTCTAGAAGCACCATCTAACAGAAGAAAGCAGAGAGCACTGCAGGAGGATTTTGGTCAACGAGATACAGAACTGGAGGTGGAAGGATGCAGAGCTGTCGGCACTGTCATGATTTTGGCCAAAACTTATGATAGGACCTAAAGACTGAAGACTCTGTATTGTCTCAGTTATAATTCCTCAAAGTTGCTGGTTTCCTTTTTTTTTTTTAACTATATTTTGGTTTCCTTTTATTTGCAGAACACTTTATTTGTGGTGAACATATCCACATATAGTTGGCTTTCCAATAGAGAGACTTTTCCAGTGGGGATGAGGGTGATTAAAGAGATAGAAGGGATGAGTTCAACCAAATAATTAGGTCGCATCCCCAAAAGGCAATGCAGGCCACTGTTGCCATACATTTCTATGAATCATAATTGTGTGCACATGCAATACTCCTGTTGCCCTAAAAAGAGTCATGTGAGATGCATATGTTCTAAAATACCCAAATCCTGTCATGGGACCCAGGTAGCCTGACACTATCTGAAGTCTTGAAGGGATTCCTTTGAGAGAGTTGCCTGCTTCATGATGCTTAAGAGGAGGGTTGTTCAAAATACGTGATCTTTGGCTTTTGTCTGTTTATTAAGGGGAAGAATTATTTTTGCTGTTTTTAAGGGAGGAATAGGACAGGTGTATAATAGGACAGGAATTTTTCAGTGTTAGGTTCAGTCCAGTGTTTTATGTTTGGAACTCATGGCCTCTAAGTAGCTATATATTTCCAAAGAATGGACGTAGGTTTCACTACCTGTCAACAGGGACAGGGATTCGGTTTTATTGAAGGTAAATCAGAAGCTACTTGATGGTGGCAGCGGAGGACGGGGCCCCCGTGTAGACAAATGTTGCCATTCTCTGCTGTATGGCATTTAGTCAAGATAGTAATTGATCAAAGTCTAGGTAAGAGTTAATTTATGACACTGGAAACTAACCTCC